CAAAGGGCAGAGGACTTGCTGCAGCGCATGAGCTTGGATGAGAAGGTCGGGCAGATGGGTGGGATACGTCGGCTGCTCGAGTCGAATCTCTCTTTCAATGCGACCAAATTCGCCGACATCAACACGCTGGAAAATGGGAACCTGGGTCAGTAAAAACCCGGTCGCTTTAAAACCTAGAAAGCAGATTCGAAGACTACAAAAGCTGAAGAGTCTGTTTGATTGCAGGTTTCGGCGCCATGTTGAACCGCGCAGAAGACGTTCTTCCCATCGCCAACGCTATTCGCGCGAAACAAATCAACTCGACTCGGCTTGGTATACCATATATCACGGTGACAGACTCGGTCAATGGACCGTATCTCGCCGGCGGGACGCTTTTCCCTGCCAGCTTGTCGATGAGCTCGTCATGGAATCTGCCTCTTTACGAGAAAGTCGTCGAAGTGATCCGCGACGAGAATATGGCGCTCGGTACCCATTGGGTACTTAGTCCTGAGTTGGAAGTGGCGAAGGAACCGCGATATGGGAGGGTTGGAGAGATGTTCGTTCTCATACAAAACCCATTCTTTGGCCAACCTAGAGTGTTGGGAAAGCTAACGAGACCGGTGTAGGTACGGAGAGGACGCATACCTTGTCGGCGAATTCGGAACTCAGTACGTCAAAACGATGCAAGAAAGGGACTCGCAAGGCTACGTCAAAGTCGCGACAACAATCAAACACTTCGTCTACGGCCTCCCTAGCGGCGGCGTCAACACAGCCAGCCAATACGGCGGCATGAATCATATCTTCAACGACCTCGCACTGCCGTACATCAAAGCCATCACTGAGGCAAAGCCACTGTCTCTGATGGCATCATACGCGAGCGTCGACCGCGTGCCCATGTCCGCGAACAGGTACATGCTCCAAGATGTATTAAGAGACAAGATGGGCTTCGAGGGACTGATCATGTCTGACGCCACCGCCGTGTATCATTTGTACACGCAGTCGAAGATAGCAGCGTCGCCCGCTGATGCCGCGCTCAAGGCGGTCCGAGCGGGTTTGCAGATGGAACTGGCGCCGCAGCAACCTGCTACTTTCCCTACACTTGTCGATGTGTCATCCTCTGACGATCTCGCTGCCATTGACGAAGCAGTACGGCAGATACTCGAGATCAAGTTCGCAACTGGCATGTTTGAGCGTCCGCTGCCAAGCGTGTCGGCGCTTGAAACCACGTTAAGAGCGCCGCAGCATCTGGAAGCGGCTCGAAACATATCTCGGGAATCCATTGTCCTGCTCAAGAACAACGGCATCCTCCCACTTCCAAGTACCAACTCCACCAAAATCGCAGTCCTGGGCCCCTTCGCCGACATAATAAACGCCGGCTCCTACGCCGCAAACAACTGCTCCTCTCCCCTCTTCGGCAGCACCCTCCTCTCTAGTCTAACCGCCTCCCTCGGCCCCTCCAACATCCTCCACGTCCCCGGCGTCGACATCCTCTCCACGGACCCCTCCACCTCCCACATCAACGACGCAGTGACAGCAGCCAAATCCGCCAATCTCGCAATCCTAACCCTGGGCTCCCTGTCCGTCAATCTCGAAGACCCGCTCTGGACGCAGCGCACAGACGGCGAGTTCTACGCCCACGCCTCCCTCAGCTTCCCCGGGCTGCAGCAAGATCTCCTCAACGCCGTCCTCGACACCGGCGTCCCCACCATCCTCGTCCTGAGCGGTGGTCAGGCCTTCGTGCTCGACGACTCTGCTCTGCGCGCCGATGCCATCCTGCACTCCTTCCTAGGCGGCGAGTTCACCGGTGACGCCCTAGTCGAGATTCTCTTCGGACGCGTGAATCCAAGCGGCAAGTTGACCATCAGCTTACCCAAATCCGATGGCGCCACGCCGATCAACTACGACTACCTTCCGAGCGACGACCAGGGCGGTCCGAGCTCGGGGGTTGCAAAGTCGAGCGCTTGGCAGTTCCCCTTGCTGACGCGGGATCCGCCGATGGGGTTTGGGTTCGGGTTGAGTTACACGACGTTTGAGATTTCTGGTCCGAGTGTTACGGAGGGCTTTGATGAGGACGGAGAGCAGGTGTTTGAGATTGCGGCGACGGTGAGGAATACGGGGACGGCGGCGGGTAAGGAGGTCGTGCAGTTGTATTTTCGGCAACTGTACTCGGGGATCGAGAGGCCGGTGAAACGGTTGGTGAGGTTTAGGAAGGTGGAGTTGGGGAGTGGGGAGGTGGGCAATGTGTCGATGAGTGTGCTGGCGAGGGAGTTGGGGTATTATGTGGATATGGAGTGGAGGGTGGATGAGGGGGGGTATACGTTTTATTTGGGGAGTAGCTCGAGGGATGAGGATTTGCAGAGTGTGGATGTGGTTGTGAGGTAGCTTTACCTGATGAAGGGGATATATATAGGTGCGTTAGGATGTCTGCATAACGTTACGTATCAATCTAGGTCAATGTGTCGGATCAAGTTTACGCATCGGTAACCTCAACATCCAGATCAGTGATTGACTACCGAGTACTCGTAATCCCTGACGAGATTTGCTGGATGCAACACTAACGTTATTTGAAAGAAAAAAAAAAGAAAAAAACGTTCAGAAAGGAATAGACCCCTACTATTCCACCTTTACTACATTTTTCTGCAACATAACCCACCGTCACGCAGGCAGATATTGCTTGAACACGTTGACGTATTCAAAGAAGCTCGCCTTATACGACCTCTCCAGCGTCGTGAGGTTGAAATACTGCAACACAGTCAGCATCAATTCAACGACTTCACGCAACAAAACCACGCAGAACCCAGCACTCACCTGCATCCCAAACTTAACCGTAAACCCACTCGCCCACTCCAAATTATCAACGATACTCCACGCCAAACACCCCCTCACATCCACCCCCTCCGCAATCGCCATGAGAACCGCCTCCAAGTACCTCACATAATACGCGCTCCGGACCGGATCAAACCGGATATCAGCCTCGAGCGTCTTCAACTCCTCAAACGGCTCCGCGAAGCCAAACTCGGAAACCACAATACCCCCGGCTGGCTTCCACGTGTCTTGGATGTAGCGCAGCAGCGCCGGCACCCAGTCCATGGCGTAGTGCAGCCAGGGAGCGCCGGGGTCGGCCGCGGGGCCGACGTTCCAACCCCCGGCCGCGGCGGCGTAGGCGTAGGTTTGGTTGTAGCAGCCCGGATACAGCGGGTGGGAGGTGTTGGCGAGGCAGGCGTCGATGCCGGCGTCCGGGGCGGAGAAGAAATTGCTCGTGTAGGCGTCGTGGGCGAAGAGGTCGGCGGAGCCGTTGATGGCTTGTTTCTGGGCGTCGGTGAAGTCGGGGAGGAAGGTTGAGACGTGGGCTTTTAGGTGCGTCGGGTAGTCGCCGGTCAGGAAGGTTGGGGTCGCGAACCAGCCCTCGTTGAAGTCCCAGGCGCGCTGGACGGCGAGGGCGTCGGCGCTGCTGTTGGTGAGAGGGATCTTGTAGCCGCCGTTGTTCTTGAAGCTGATTGTGCCGGTGATGTTGAGGGATTTGCCGAGGCGGTAGGCTTGGCTGTGGGCGAGGAGGACGTTGTGGCCGCAGTGGTAGGGCTGTTGTTGGGCGGGGATGGAGCTGGCTTTGAAGTAGTGGGATGGGAAGGGGTATTGGGCGCAGAACTCGAGGGGCTCGTTGACGGTGAACCAGTGAGGGACTTTATTGCCCCATCGGGTGAAGGCGACGCGTGCGTATTCGACGAAGTCGGGGACGATGGAGGGGCTGAGCCAGCCGCCGTAGGTGTTTTGGAGGTAGAGCGGCGTGTCCCAGTGGTAGAGAGTCACGACGGGCTGGACGTTGTATTGCAGACAGGTATCGATGAGGTCGTCGTAGTGCTTGAGACCAAGCTCGTTGACTGGCCCCGAACCGAATGGGAAGATGCGAGACCAGGATATGGAGAAGGAATAGTAAGGTACTCCCAATGCTGCGATACGTGCTATGTCTGAAACAGGTATCAGTGAAGGCGATGATCCAAAATTCTGGAGAGTGATGACCACAGACCTTGTTTGTACAGATAGTACTCATTATCCCCAATATCCCCCGTATCATTATTCTTGACAAAGTTCGTCACCCTATGCGTCAGCACATCCCAGACCGACGGCCCCCTCCCCTCGGCCTTGACAGCCCCCTCAATCTGATAGGCAGCACTAGCAACGCCCCACCAGAAATCCTTGGGGAACGACCAGCTCTCGTTCTTCGTCTGCAGGGGGTTCTGCTGGCCGGACGGAAACGGTGAGTAGTACAAAGGTGGTGGAGGGATCAGTTCCGCTGTCGGGATTGGGGTTGCTTCGACGGTGGTGTTGATGGTGGAGTTGGAAACGGGGCCGACGAACAGATCCCAAAGGTCTGCATGAATTGAGTTAACGTTAACGTTAGTCCCCGCAACATTGACGGCATCTATACTCCATCCACTGTACTAAGTTAATCACTTCCACAGCAAACTCACCATCAACGGAGAGACCAAGCGTCGTAGTCGCAGCGAAGCTCCTCGTCGACGAGGCCACACTTGATTGGCCACCAGGAGCCGTAGCCTGTGCCACAGCAGCAGCAGCAGCAGCGAGTGCCCCCAAGACAAAGCAGTAGCGGTACCCCATATCTGGCAAAAAAAAAGAGAAAACCCCCACAAAAATAACAAATCTCAGACCGACAACAAAACCCCAAACCCCACAAACGGGATCACCCTCCTTTAAGCTAAAAGAACGTCTTCGTCATCCCCAATCGCTCCCAGATCCCCCGAGCGACACCAAACAGCCTGAACGAGTTCTCCAGCTCAAGCGCGGGGAAGAGCTAGTAAACACGACAAGGGTGACGAGTCGGACGCGGGGTAAGGCTGGATGTTTGCTTGGCTGTCATCTCCCATCCTGCACCCCAGATCCCCGCCCCCGCCATCAGCAGCAGATGCATCCCGGAGTTCCACCATCACCACCACCACGACCACCCTCCAACCCCCTCTGCTTACGACTCCATATTGCCTTCCAGCAAGAAAAATTTCCCAAACGGGGGGTTGGCGCAATGGTAGCGCGTTGGTTTTCGGCTCACCGGGAACATTCTGGCTAAAGAAGCACCAAAGGTTGTGGGTTCGATCCCCATGCTCCTCGGTTCCGGATTTTATTTTTGATTTTCGTCTTTTTGCGTCGTTATCTTTCATCTTTTGGCCTTTTCTTTTTGCCCCTCTCCCCAATACCTTCCTTCCCTCCCCCAGTACCCTCCTTCTCTGCTCCTCATCCCCCTAAT